AGGAATGCAAGGAGTTTGGACCAAGGACGTCAGATAAACGAGTCTGCAGGACAAGGAAACACCAACTACACACAGACATCAGCACTAAACGGGTCTCACTCCTGTGGTCTGGTGGGTCCAGGAGAGCAGCAGCAAAAGGCAAAATGGGGAAGAATGTGAGTGTGGCTTCTCGGGAGGCTAAGCACGACAGCACTCCCAAGGCAGCTCAGTAACAGCAACTGTCAGTCTGTTTCAAGATACATCATATCACTGCCCTCCCAGATCATGGACACTTCTGAACACTGCTGACAGATCCTGAAACGATCCCCTAATCGGCACCAGGCGGGACTCCTTGAGGTCAGTGAGGATGCCGCCCGGAACTGCTCACGCAAGAATTGTGTACAAGAACAGTGCCTCCCTGCTGGGACCCCACCAGTCCCTCTTACCAAAGCAGTAAATAGGGGAGAGCTTGCTGACTGGCACGTCTAGACTATTTCCCTGGGGCCCTTTGAGTCCTGAGCCTGAAACTCACTAGCCCAGATAGGCCTCTGAAGCATTTGTAGCAGTGTGGGAAGCTCCAGAAGAGTCTAGAAGGGCCGAAGCAAGGTGGAAGGTATGTGACTGAGAAAAGTGGGCCTGGCTGTGGACACGGGGGCAAGGCAAAGCAACGAGAGAGAGTTTCATCTCTATGGGGCAAGTGAGGGTGCATGTCACGTTTCTGTGTCCTGGGCAGAAGGACCATATACTAGGTCTCCTTTGCATTGATGAGTCCTGGAGAAGGACGAACGAGAGCTTAGAAGGGCTTAGAGTGGAAATGTGGTTCCCAGGGCACTTGGAACGGAATATGTGTGAGAAGGAGGCACCTGGGGACAAAGCCCAGTGAATACTGATTACGGCTGTCATGGCGAGACGTGTTTATTGGGTGACCTGAATGCCATATCAGAACCATCCTGCGGAAAAAACTCCAGGCAGCCCACCTTCCTATGATCTCCGTTTCCATTTCAATTGATTTTAATGCTAGTGCAATCCTATCTAAATGCTAATTTTCTTCCCTTTGAGTTTGGAATGGACAAAACCTCCAAAAAATTCTAAGAGAGATTAAATGGAAAATATTATTATTAAAAAACAAGAGAGTGGGCGCTACCTTGGTCAGGTTCTCTGGGGAATTGAATTCTACAAATATATGTGTGTATGCGTGTGCCCTCTGGTTTATTACACAAATCCGACAGCAAGCAGAAAGGGAGTCTGAGGTTTCACTGTTTTACATTTGCTATTATCGCCAGACAGAATATCCCGATCAGTTCTCATTAGGCTGCCCTGTGTCTCTGTCTCGCGTCATCAGTTGGAAGCGAGCGCTGTTAACTCTGTGATGCAGGCTTCATTTCTGTGAGCCCTTCTAGAACACATTTGGAAATTGGTTTTCGAATTAAGAATCCATATTCGTTTTCTAAGAGGCTGCTGGTAATACGGCTGTCATTCCCAGACCTGAGATGGGCCCCGGATGGAGAGCTGTGACCCAGGGAAAAAGCCTCTCTGTGCATCTCAAGGATTCAGCACACGAACTTGCATCAGACACCTGAGAAGAAGCAGGCGTGTGAAAGGTGTCAGGTGTTTTCTGTAATTGACTCTCAGAGCAAGAATCTGTGGGCAAACAGACAAAGTTGGGGCTCGGTGAGGAACCAGTGTGCCCAGTGAGGGAGAGCCAAGCTGACCTCAGGACCAAGCTCTGCCAGCAGCTTTCTGTAACCCACCCAGAGGAACCACTTGGCCTTTCAAACATGTTGTCTTTTCAATGGCACAGATCTTCCGTCCCCAGCTAGAAGGCAAGATCTCTGAGGAAAGGGATTATGTTTGAAAATAATAATTCAAGTGGCAACAGAATCTGCCCCGTGCCACTTTCTGTGTAAGTACTTTGGAAGTACATGATTTCTAAATCTCAAATGAAAGTCATTTTCTTTTTTGCTAGAGGGTAAGTGTGCTCTAGAGAGGGACAGGAAGAGAGGGAGAGGAGAAAGCACTTCCCACGGGGAATGGTCATGCTACAATCCCTTCTCTTCCATCTCTGCCTCCCTTTGGGATTTTGGGCACACACACACACACACACACACACACACACACACACAGTATGTATATCAAGCCACCTGTCCAGGACTTGAACTGCGCAGTTGGCCATGTAGGATCCAGTCTCCTTAACCACCAGGCCATGGAGCCAGCCTGGAAAGTCGTTTTTATTTAATGCTGAAAGAATTGAAGTGAAGATCAATCACAGCAGAGCAGTGGTAGCCAACAGTTGGCAGTGCTGGAAGCCACGTGGAAGATCGCAGTTGAGTTCCTTTATTGACCTGTACACTCATGTGCCTGGGATCCTGGCTGGCTGGGAAGGGTAGGGGATAGGATTGTGGTATGAGACCCTGTTCAGGATACTTGTCTTTCTCTTTCTCATTGAAATACATATTTTAAAAGGAAGGAAATTGGATCCCACATGACCAACTGTGCGGTTCAAATCCTGGCTCTGGCTTCTTGCAAAACATGCTGGGTACATGTGTGCATGCTCAAAATTCTGACAGGATGGAGAAATGGAGAAGAAAGTATTGCGATGTAACCATGTCCCATTTGGGGGCTCTTTATCCTAATATCATCTCTCTGGCAATTAAAAAAAAAAAAAGAATTGAAGTGACTTTGTTAAGGTCACAGAGCTAGCAGTGACATAAGTGAGGTTCAATCCAGAAGTCCAAGATCAAGGGACTGGCAGATTCAGTGTCCACTGAGGGTCGTTTTGTGGCTTGGGGACAGTGCCTTCTTGCTGAGTCCTCACATGGGGGAAGAGGCTAGCTAGCTCTCTGGGGTCTCCTTTATAAGGACACTAATTCAAAGGGGCTCAACCCTCATGACCTATTTACCACCTAAAGGCTGACTTCCTAACACCATCGCCTTGGCAGTTAGGGTTTCAACGTATGAATTCTTGGAGGGGTACAAACACACAGGCCAGAGCAGCCATGCTCTTTCTTTCTCACCACCAACAGAACAGCCTCCATAAATTAACTGCCCCTCTGCAGGCTTGCAGATGTTGCAAATATGGATCAGTAGCTCTTATTTAAATTGAAAGAGCCTGAAAAGGGGCTTGCGTATACAGTGACTGAACACAAGATCACCAAAAGAGAAGGGTATTAGGGAATTGAACAGCTTTCTCTGGATTTCCCGCCACTATGGACACCCCTCTGCCACCGTGATGAGCATACGAGGTGGATGTTATGTTTTGAGTCTGTTTCATCCCCTCAACTCTGAGCTCCTAAAGATAGTGACATTCAGGTTTATAATCTCCAGGCCTAGAACAGAGGTTCTTATTCATGCCTATTAACTCAGAG